TGATGGAAGGATCGTTTTGGTACTGAAAATGAAAGTTTGAGAATCATTTTGATACTATTTAAAGTTGAGGGACAATTTTAGTACCAAAGTGAAAAGTTGAGAGACCAAAATGGAATTTAAACCTAGAATATTATCTTTGTAAACACCTATATATGGGTCATTGTACATACAGAATTATTCCAAAAAGCAGTAAATTTTTTTTCAAATATTTCTCCTTTTTTCCAATTTCTAACAGTTTTTTAAGTTCAAAGGCTAAGTTAATTTTGATGTGTAAATGAAAATATGTAACAATGGTAGAAAATGATTGTTTTTAATATTTAAAAATATTTATTTTGTGATAAAATAATGATTCACATGGTACTTTGTTAACGGAAGAACTATTTTGGTATCAAAATTAAAATTTAGGGATAATTTTCATATTTTTTTAAGTTTAAAGATTATTTTGATAAAATCCAAAAGTTGGGGAACCAAATTGGTATTTCATGAATTATTTGTTGTACTTTTTAATGCATCAACTACAAAAAATGTACCTTTTTTTAATCATTTCATCAATTAATTTATTAAATATGTCTATTCGTATATCTTTAAACTTATAAATTTATAAACTAAAAATTTACATATATTATAAATTTATGGATTAAAAATGTGTATATTTTAACAAATTTAATGCACTAACGGATAGAAAGACAAACGATATGCATTTTTTAAAGTTGAAGAATGAAAAAAGTGTAAAAAAAAAAAATTAAAGATAAACTTTATTTAAATTTAAAAGTGAAAGGACTAAATTTGACATTTAACTAAAAAATGCATGAGGACTGAGATATGAATCCAATTGCAATGTTTGGGCTTTAATGAAGCTCGGTCCAACCCAGAATTTGGACGCAATTGACTCAACCCATTCAAATTAAGCTTACGTTTGATTTAGCCAACCATTTTAATATTTTAGTGATAAATTTTTTTATTAGAACTTAAATAATATAATACATAAATAAATAGACTAAAAAATAAAAAAATAATTATTTTATAATTAGCCCTGTTCACCTACCAACTGAGGAAACATGCTCAAAATACACATTCTCTGTTTGAATGGACATCAGTGAATCATATAGAATTACCATTCCATGGAAATTAATGCACTTAACCTTCTATTTTATTAAAACAAATTGCAATGCAACAAGAAGGTCTGACTCCTCAGGACTGGAAACAAAGAAAAGGATAACCAATCTAGCTAGCAGCATAACCAAGTACACATTTATTGAAACACTAAACAACATTTATTGAAACACTACACTAGAACATGGTGAGCCTTGGAAATTTTGCCTTTCTGCAAATAAATTGGATGTCCTTAAATTTCTCCATGACTCAGGCAGAAGGGTTCATATTTTTGTAAAATTCCATCACCCAAAAGTTGTAAGCAGGACATATCTGTTTCAAAGCTGAGAAACCAGCTTCTCTTGCCAAAGCCTCATACTCTTTCTTTGTCCTCTCTTTCGAATTTTGTCGATAAGATCACTCACAGGTGATTCTGGTGCGAAAAGTTCCACCACCACCACCTTACCCGATTTTGGCAAGGCATCATAACAATTTTTTAGTAGCTTGAAGCAGTGATCATCATCCCAATTGTGAAGTATCCACTGTTCAAATTTTCATCCACAAATCTTAATTCAATCCACTAGAATATATAATTCCCAAAAATAATCCATGGTACTAATGGCAAGCATATATTGCATCTTATCGTAAATATACTCTGGTTTTGTTCTGTTTATACAATAAACTACTGTGTTACTTTTATTATTATCATTATTATTATTTCATTTTCAGTAAAACATAGAAACAAAATCACTAACCTCCGAGATAATGGTTTGTCCTTGAGGAACTTTAGTGAACATGTCTCCTCCAATGTATTCCACACCTAACAAGAAATTGATAGAAGTAGTGTTAGCACCAGGGACAGAGCTAGAAAATAATCTTAGAGGAGGTGAAGTGTCATTTGGGATGTATTTGCTAAAAATGAATTTCTTTACTTGTAAACTAAATTAGGACTTAAATGTACAAAACCAAAATTTTAAGAATTTTAAATAAAGAAAAACTTGGTAAAATTTATGCATATTTAAATTTCAAATTGAAACACAACTTTTTTCATAAAATATTATTCAATATAATCTAAATAATAAAATTAAATGTTCTAAAAAATTGACAATACTAATTTTAAGTCAATTTTATTTTACTGTTTACTCTGAATGATCATTAATCATGTATATATTAAACAACAAGCATGTCAAATAAAAAAAAATATTTCCATAAATTTATTTTACTTGTCAAGTGGGTAGTGATTTATCATAAATTTATAAAAGAATAAAAGTTATAAAACACAATTTTATTTTTTTAAGAAAGGTTTATTTGACTTTTAAAAAAGAATAGGACCTATTTAACTTTTTTTCAAAAGTCCAGGGGGGTGAGTGTCCCCTTGCACCCCCTGGCTGCGTCCCTGGTTAGCACCATCCAGCCGGGGAAAAAATGTCAGTCCTGACATTAACATCCAAGAGCTAGCTATGTTATCTAGACTGAAAGAAACTATTTTCTCTGGTAAAAATTGGTAACCATTCTAGATATAGTGAAAAGAATTTATTAATGTAACTGAATCCAACCAAGATTACCTGGAAAAGGGGACTCATTCCTAATAACACGTGACAAATCAAAGTTAATACCCTTTATCTGGGGATACTTGGAGACTATCGACTTAAGAGTTGTACGCACCCCACCACCAACATCTACCAGCTGCTCTAAACCCTCAAATCCCTTGTAAGTTGCTAAAACCTTTTTCATGACTAGGGAACTGATGTTGCTCATTATTTTATTCAAGACGTTATTCATTTTCTCATCTTTCTTAGCGTACTCAAACACCGGCATCCCAAATGCCTTCTCAAACGGTACACCACCATCAATTACTGCCTCTTTTAAGTAACACCTGCGTTGAAGAAGAGCACTTTTTCTTATGATTGTCGTCTAATAGAATCATAAATGTTTTCAAGTAATAAATAAAAATGCACTGTTGGGATTTAGGAAGAAGAAACCAATTAACCTACCAATGATCAATGCTACATTTTTCCATGTGGAACTGTAGGGAAGGGAGCAAAAGAAATTTGGTCTTCATCTTGAAGGAAGTATTTGTTGGGATTTTTTATCAAAGAAAATGGGGAGGAGACTGAGAGGAAGATGATGAAGAGCAGAGCACATAAAATGGAAAGAAGTATATGACTTCAACTCAATTTTTTTCATTAACAAACTCTCCTATTTATAGGAGAATACAATCTTTAAACAATTCAAAATTAAAACAACTATTTTACATTAAAAAACAATAAATATACATTTGAATTTTGAAATGAGTAACAGCCACTCTTGCTGCAGCATGCTTGCGTCCTTTGCAGCCTCTTTGCAGCTCTGTTGCCTCTTGGCAGCTCTGCAACCTCTTTGCAGCCCTTCATTTGCATTTGCATTTGGATTTGTATTTAATTTGTTGTTCATGGCAGCCTCATTTCATCAACATTTGCAGCTTAGCTTGCTGCACATTTTTGCTGTCATTTGACAGCTTCATTTCCCTCATATTTGCAGCTAAATTGCTGCCATATTTGCTGAAAATTGCAGCTTCATTTGCTGTCAATTTTCAGCCTCATTGCTGCCATTTCATGGCAGTTTCAATTCATTATTTCTGCAGATTTGAATGCCACGTTTCTAGCAATAATTCCAACACTCCTCCTTGGCATCAAAGCTACAAAATCAAAAACAGAAATAGATTTATACCTAAGCACCTGGGATCAGCCCTTTGCTATCCATCTTATGCTTGGTTTTCACCATTTTTTTTTTCATCACAACCATGTACCATCCTTCTCAAATAACCTCAGCTCCTCCTTCATTACAGCTTTCCTTCTTTGGATTTGCTGCCTCAAATAAATTTTGGAGGTTTTTCAACTAAATTGCTTTTTCTGAGTAAATAAAACAAGGAATTGGTACCTCAAAGTGATGCTTGATCATCTCCCACATCTTCTACACCTTCCTTGGGCTAAAGATTTGGCTACTCGGTTATGAAAATGACTTGATGCAATGTTGAGTACTCTCTTGGTCCCAATCTGCATCTTCATAAGCCATCCTTGCCTTTTTGGACTAATGCTGTAGCATAAAACACCACAATACCAGCAGCCTAAAAACGTCATCAAACCAGCATCTTTTGCTTTTGCTTCTTGCAGATCTTCTGCCTCAAACGATTGAAGGACGTCAAGTTAACCTTCAACTTCACAACCTCACATACTCCCTTCTGCCTTAACCAATTGGTTACATTCTTTTGTCAATCACTTTCAAAGATTGAAGGACTAAAGTTAACCTTCATCATTACAGCATCTTTGCTGCATTTTTGGTCAGAGGAGTTTGCTGTGTTGGGTTAGAAAAAACAAGGTATTTTGAAAGAAAAACCCTGCTGGCAACCATTTGAGTTGGGTCAAAATTTGTGGTGGTCTATTTCCCTCAAATCTCTCTCACACAAGCCCTCAAAGATCATAAAAGGCTCTGATACCATGTTGGGTTTTTTTATCAAAGAAAATGGAGAGAATTTCGAGAGAAGAAGATGATAAAGAGCAGAGCACATAAAATGGAGAGAAGTATATGACTTCAACTCAATTTTTTTCATTAACAAACTCTCCTATTTATAGGAGAATACAATCTTTAAACAATTCAAAATTCAAACAACTGTATTTTCCCACTGGTGCAAAATCATATACCCTATTATGGGAACGTCCTTCCATATCAGTGACCAGAGTGCATGTGAGGATGGAGTGGCTAGCCAGAAGGCAGAGCATGCGGTCTATAACTGATATTGGCGTCAGAATTTTGTGCTTGAAGGTGAGAGGCAATCTCAGAAGACGAGAGCTTACGACCTTCTAGGCTAGCTTTTGCCATG